CAATGAATATCTATGTTATATGATCATGTGTATTGATTATGATTGGCCGATTATTTTGTGATAAACCCGAGCTATTCTGAAATGTGAGAATGTCTCCCCTGCTATCCAAAGTGGTGATCTTTTTTTTTGTAAATCTTATAAAGTCAGTAACTTCACAAAGATTTATAATAAATCAAATCTATGATAGGTCGATTATATTTTCAAAATTTATAGTAATATTTGAATATTGTCATAGCAGGAACCTATAATAGAGATTTTTCAGTTCTGTTGTAATACAATATAACATTAGTATAGTGTAGTATAGATTATATTTTATTATTTGTATTATTATATATTAGTATATTTATTTAGTATTAGTTATTATATTAGTATATTATATTTTATATATCAATATTTATTATAGTAGTTATAGAAACTTTATTGGCTAGTTAACTGAGACATGTACAAGTACCTCTTAGTACCTTCACACAAGTACCTCTTAGTACCTTCACACAAGTATCTCTCAGTACCTTCACATGGGTACTTCTCAGTACCTTTACACAAGTATCTCCCAGTATCTCCACATAAGTACCTCTCAGTATCTTAATACAGATACCTCTCAGTACCTTTGCACAAGTATTTTTTAATATATTACACCTTTTATGTGTAAAAAAGTTATAAAAAGAGAGTTTTTGCCTCTTCTGCTCAAGTTAAAATTCCCTACTCTCTCATAGAATCTAGCCTTACCTAACTACTCTTAATATTCTTCTTATATTTATATAGTGTAATATTCTCTCTTTAGGTTATTCCTATAGTAAAGAATATTATCGTGAACTTGTTATTAATAAATATACTATAAATATTATCATCTCTATAAACTGTTATTATCTTGAATCGTTTGCCTCTTGCTATAAAGTAAAGTATATACTTCACATCCACCCCATGTATATTCATAAAGTATATTACTGCATTAGGTAACCTTGTTACTTTGCTATAACAATACCAAGAAGGCTATAGCATTGTAACAATAATAAAAAGAAAGAAAAAAAAAAAACTGTCTAACAACTAAAATTTTCTATATATAATTTCTCTAATCTCTTATAGCCTGTCATCAATTATTCAAAAGTAGTACTCAAATAAGCTCATAACAGGTTTTATTTTAGTAAACACATTCTAATTTGAAAAAATAAATACTGTCAATTTTTTGGAGAGAGTATACTGGTTTTCTTACTTTTTGGCCAAAATTTTTAAAAAAAATTCAAAATAGCAAAAATATAATAAAAGGTCTTTAGTTGTAAGTACTTTCAAAAAATCTAAAGGATTGTATTGAAAAGCCTAAACTCTTATTGTTTCCCCTGTGTTCTTCTGGCTTGAAGTAACAGTTTAAGTAACTTTATTAATAGCAAAAACTATTGTCTTACTACCAAAATTTTATATCTAAGAGCACATACCTTTTGCTAATTATCTTGTATACTAACACTCTTGGCTTGTATGTCAAATATACATTTTATAGAAAAGTTCTAGAAAAAAAAGACTATTAATCTCTATACTAAAGTTAATACTTCAATCCGGATATAAATATATCTGGATTGATATTTTATTAAAAATTTATAGTAAAACATACAGTGGGGTATCATGGCATTATAGATACTTTTTTTTTTTTTTTATTACTTTGGCAAGTCGAGATGTGACTTGGTCCAGCTATCTTTATAGTTGACCCTACGCTACTAGTGTCACAGGACCTCCATAATTCCCATATGGGAATTATGTGTATCCACCTGGAATCTATTGCCGCCATTTCTCCGGTTCCCTCATTGGGGCCTAGATCCGACCGCCTGCACAACACCCTGGAGAGGTCAAAACACCTTGATATTAGACTGGGATTTCACCAGCTGATCTGGTGGCACCACAAGTTCTTGTAGTATCTTCTCAGACTTTGGCTTCACAGTACATCTCATGACTTCAGTTATTCCAAATCGGAGTTCTAACACGCCTCGCTTCACAGCCACAACTTCTCGGAATAACTATTCCCCGAATACGTCCATCCGTAGATGTCCTGAGTTCCCTGTACCCCACGATGTTTCATTTCCATATTTGGGTTTTCATTATTTCGCCTCTGGGAGGAATTGAACTGGCAACCGTCCGATTTGCAACCTGGGAGCATAACCGATATTCTATTGACCCACAGGTCTTTAATAGAATATTTTAAATTAGTCAAAATTTGTAACTATAAAGGGGTTTTTACTAATAAAATTGATAAAAAAATCCAATTTTTTTTGTGATAGTGATTATAAGCAATTTTTGACTATAAAGAGGTTTTTTTTACTATATTTAAGTCTGTTATACAATATTAGGTGCTTATATAAAGATGTAACTATATGAAATGTAACTATAAAGAGGTCAGACTATATATAGTACAAATATCTGTAATCAAAATACCAAATTCTAACTTTAAAGAATGTTAGAATAATTTTATAATATGAATTTTTTATCCTAATACTAACCATAAAGAGCTGCTAGAATAATTTTAAAATAAAACTTTCTCATCCTAACTAGAGATAAATTTCATGTATGCGCATAATTCCTCAATTGTGTGCATTAATGTGTATTCATGTATATGATTCAGAATCATGCGCATTTTATCTTATCTAAATTTTATAAAGGAAAAATAAGTATATTTAATTTAGGTTAAGGTGTATAATGCCAGGCAAAATTAAGAAATAAGAATGCAGAAGCTTTGCAAAATTCCAAAAAGAAAATGAATGAACATAAAGATGAAAGGGTCAGGAAAAAATTTGGCAAATATCCGATATTTTTCAGAGAGAAAATATAAAATTAAAAAAATTATATTGTGTGATTTCATGCACAATTATATAACGTGCGCATTAATGCGCATTCACATGCATGTTATTGTAAAATGTGCATTTTTTTTATCTCTAATCCTAACACTAATCATTAAGACTATTAGAATAATTTTATAATACAAACTTTTTCATTCTAATATAAAGAGCTACTAGAATCATCCTAACAATAATCATAAGAGGCTGTTAGAATGAACAGAAGGAAATGTCGATATTACACTAATTCCTCACCCTGTGTGCTACAATTAAAAAAATTAATTTGCAATTTCAGATCACCCACTAGTACATGTTATGATTATAACACAAGACCTGTTTTAGTATAATAAAATGGTGTTGGATTATAATTATAACATGTACTTGCAGAATGATCTGGTATTGTAAAATGTTTTTTTATATGTTGCATACTGGGTAAGGGATCAGTCATGTAGCATCGATGTTTTCTCCTGTTGTTAGAATAGCAATACAAACTTTTTTATCCTAACATTATCTATAAAAAGCTGTTGGAATGATTCATAATGCAAGCTTTCTTATTTTAATACTAATCATAAAGAGCTTAGAATGATTTTATAATACTTTCTCATCCTAACATTAATAGTAGCATATGCACCACTAATAATAGTTGTAACTAATCCAAATTGAATTGATTAATATTTGAAATTAACTTAGCCATAGTAAATTAGAGTTAAGTCATCTTGATTTATTTATTTTATTTATTTATTTATTTTTTTAGCTAACCTTACTGCTAACTAATTCAAAATTGAATACTTGTAGTTTATAAAGCTTGCGTATCAAATCGGAATAGTAATTTTTTAGCATTATATTTATTTTTTTGAAATTGTTGTTATTAAAGTGTCCAAATTTTGAGTAAATTGAAGAAGAGTTAACCCAGTAATCACAACATCACATGACAAGTGTTCGGCATAGATTAGATTAGAGTATATTATAATGTCATTATGTGTTTATCATGTGATAGTTGATCACTGGGTTAACTGGCATCTACTTATTTGTGCTGATAATACAAACCTCTAAAAGGAAATAGCCAATCAGAGAACACAAATTTCGGGTATTCCGGATCAGCCCTGACATAGAATTCAAACACGAGCGAAAGAAGAAAAAAAGCAAAGAAAGCTAAAATACTCAAAAACCAGAGTTTAAATTGACCTTTGTGGATTAATAAAAAATAGCAATAATGAAATTTTAAATATAAAAAACCCCAACTTATTATAAAAGCTCACAACCCTAACATTCTAATTATAAACTTCATTTTTTCACACTTAACTTATTTACAAATTTATTTCTATTTTTGGTTTGTGTTACTGGTACAAATAAGTAAATCAGGCCTCCAGCTAAAAATTTTGGGTCATAGTATATCAAAAATTTCCTATATATTTAGTATATAAAAATGCTTTCTATGACTAAAATTTCATGCCAAAAACTTTTTTTTAAGGTTGGAAGTTAGTTGGTATCAGCCCAGAATTTGCTTGACATAAGGGTACCCAAACAGGTCTAAATATATCTTTATAGGCTTTCTCATGACTAGTTAATTGTGTAAGTAATAGATATTTAATAGATTGCCATAGATATCATCAATTGCCATGGCGAAGCCATAGCAATTGATGATATCAAGGCTAACATTAAATATTTGATATATTTCATAGAGACTAATGCTTAAATAATTTCTGATAATTAATTAAAATATATCATCATGAAATAAACTTTTAATTTATAAATATCATAATGTAAACATAAATAAATTAATTATAATCGTATGATTTTTTACTTTTATAGATTTGGTCCCAATGTTTCAATCTGCTCGTTCACTATTTGAAAATAAAGAACCTGACTCTTTGATTATTTTATCAAATAAAGAAGTAAATAAAACAGAATCAGAATTACAGAATAAAATTGAATATTATAAAAATAAGGGAACTGTAAAAAATACTGTTAAGGCAACTAGAAATTGGGTTACTCAATTAGAAATATTTCACAAATTACAAGGCTATGATACTCCAATTGAAATGATAACTGATATTGAGTTCTTCAAAAACAAATTGTTGAATTCATAACATCATCAAAACAACAAAATAGACAACTTTACTAAAACTTAAAAAAATTATATATGTTTTTATAATAAAATAATAATATTTTTAAAATATAATAAATATGTTTTTATAAAA